TCACGTATCAGAATTAGCACTCGTCACTCGTGCGTACCCGCAGTCCATTGTGCTCGCAATTTGCATAAACATTTAAATTAAACGAATGTATATAAATATTTAAAGAATGTTCATAGCATCTTTCTTTTAAATGAGCTTTAACTTAATTCAAAAATATTGTCAAAAGGATAGACGTATAAACTTACCTAAAGTAGTGAGTAGACGGTAGATGTATTAAGAAAATAAATTATATAAGTTATAAAGGTCATCAATTAATGGAACACAACATCAAATCCTAAATGCGAAAAGCCATTTAAAGTGATAGGGATATACACTTTTTTATTTTATCGAGAATAAACACAGAATGTAAGTAATGATTCGAGAGTATTTTTGATTGAGAGGGCGTTACTCGATCCGATCATACATTCATACCGTCTTAGTGAAAAATGGATTTAAGATAAGAAAAAGTATTTTTGATAATTGATTCAAGAATATTGATGCGAGAAAGTATAATTTTAAAACATAACGGGATGGAATGCATCTCAGATGTTATAAGTAAAAAAATGCACTTTTATGTTAATAATAATGTGTTACTGATTACGATCATTGTATACAATTGTTTTCGACGTTTTCATAAATATACAGGTTGTTCGAGATTTTTTAATTCGGGACGTAACTTACACAATTTTTTGCTAAAACGTAAATGATATTTATATGGTCAAGCCCTCCCTGCACCAGCTGAGCTGGCCACCGTTTTTGCCACATCCTTAATTTATTTTATTTAATTTGTTTTGTTTTTTGTAGTTTTTTTGGTTGTTTGTGGCAATAAATAAATATTCTATTCTATTCTGTTCTGTTCTGTTCTGTTCTGATCTGTTCTGTTCTGTCCTATTCTACTTATAAATGAAACATCGCTCGCGCGATAAATGAACACCTATTTGACAGATATTGATAGATTGACAAAATCGAAAAAAAATGAATAACGTGATATGTAGAATGCATCGGAAGTGCATTAGGAAGTCTACGTTATTAACAATTCATAGAGTATGATATGTAGACCGGTGGGCCTAGCACCAATATATGTGACATTCGGATTGGTCATTGGTCATCGTCACTTATGTCAAAATTACTATAAGATTTTTGACGCACTTTATACCCGTCAGGAGGCACTGCACAAATTTTGATACAAAATTTTGACGATGACATTACGATGGGGAATGTCACAAATATTCGTGCTAGGCTCACAGTTCAAAAGCGTGTAACTCTACTATAGATTATGGTGATTGGTAACTATGTATTTCCTTTACGTAACACCCCGACTCCCTCTCACTGTTATCCGTGTACTCGTTAATATAGATAACATAATAAATGGATAAAAGAAAAGATAGTCAACTGCATCAAATAGTTATAGTTTTATCATTTAATTTAATAGCAAATTAGTACAAGATAAGACAATGTTCGACGTTATATCGTTTTGGTATAATGTATTTGGTTGGCAACAGTTTTATGAGAATTAATGCTGAATACATTTTCATACAAGTTATTCGACAGTGTAATACAACAGTTTGATAAAAAGCGTGTAACATTAAACAATTATTTAATGCTTAATTTAAAATATAATTACAGAAATTAATATATTAGCTCAATTAATAATATAGGTAGTAACACATTTGGAGTAAAGGAAATGAGCCGCTGTCCAACCCATTTCAACGATTCGGTGATGGATTGGCAACCCTGACTTTTGTTCCGCACTCTCTAATTAATCTCGACCGCGTCTAGGCGAAAGCCAAACTGTTGAAATTAATTAATTATTGTGGAATCGACTATAGGCATAAGACAGCGGTTCAGCTTATTTGATGAATAATTCCCAAGCAATATCTGTCAACAGAGTCAAGTACACGGCCCTCGTTTAATTACAAATACGATGAATTAGTAATTTGCTAACGGGAATTGTAATCAAACACGTGTTCACATTAACTACCAAAATGTATAACGCGTTTAGCTTTAATATAATACAATAAGCTCTCAAGTCGATAGTTAATCAAAAGTTGCAATACAAAATCATATCATTTTGAAGATTTTTCCGGAACACAGATTTTGATTTCATCAATTTAAATTGATGGATGTTTGTTACAAGATATCTTCGGAACGGCTTAACGAATTAAATTTGTCACACATGTAAAACATAGTCTGGTAGAACACATAGGCTATTTATTAAGTTTTTTTTTAAACCGCACGGACTGAGTCGCGAGCGACACTGAGTGTTTACCTAGCTACCTAAAAGTTAGTATTTCTACATGTCTTAGACACATATTAGCTTTGATATGGTTGACGTACGACATAAAATTCCATGTTAAAATGACAACATAAATTATAATTTTAAATTATATAAACGATAATGCTTGAATTAATGAACACTTAAAGATTTCTTATTGACAAATTATAATGGAAATTCCTTATTAATGATAAAAAGTTTGTGCCTTCGAGTGGGACGTTGAGAGACAATTATTATTCATATTGTAATTTATGTTGTAATGAAAGGGCTGACACGGATGAGACTCGTTTAAATATATTGATTCGAAATCCTGCTAGGTTATTTAATTGACATCCCATTTAATACGCACAATTCTATGTTATTATGTTTTATTTTATTTTTATTTTATTCTATGTTATTTGAGAAAATTATACGTTGAACATTTTTTTAAAATCTTACTCCTTACTTTCTTACTGTTAGGTAGAAAAACCGAAAATGTGGCAATGTTGACACTAGCCTTACTAAAATGTCGACGTTGTTGTCCCCTCACTATTCATTCTGACTTTAGACTTTGTAACTAAAGCATATCAATCGTGCCAAATTATTCTTAAATAGTGTTTAAATTTACTAATATAATAAATGCGAATGTTTAGATCTATGGATGTTTGTTTTAAGGTATATAAATGCAAATGTTTAAATGGATGGATAGATGGATATTTGTTAGAAGGAATATCCAGAATGACTGCATTGATCTCGCCCAAATTTGGCATAGATTTAGAACATAATCTGGAAGAATACATAGCTGCTAGTCGCGGGAATAAGCTATAAAAGGTAACTATACTTATGAAGCATTGCGCTTTGAACAATCGCTTTACTTGGAACAAGCGAAGGGGTAGTTGTAATGCATTTATAATATAATAATCTGTCTATCTATTTTTGTTTCCATTAAGAGAGTTTGCGAGTTAAATGAAACAACTAAGCCAAAGCGCGCTGATACTCAAGATCATTTAACAAACAACGATAAAAGTATTACAAACAAACAAAACACGATTTTATGTTAATACGTGCTTTAAACATTGAATTGCATTATTGTATGTTTGTAAATACATTCGTAAGTTGATGCGTTGCTCAATTTCGTCTTGGAGCTTGGAGCCTGTATCCATTACATCAAGCCTAAGTGTTACGTAAGGTATTAAGTAAGTAAATTTGTGATGCGTATGCCCACGACATATTAATTGTGGAAGTGTATATATACTCTATATGACTTTATACTTTTTTTTAGCCTTTGATATGGAAGTATACAATGAATTACTCTTTGTATACGAAACAGACATAATAATATGTTTTAAATGCAGATTTTTGGTCTCAGAAACCCAACATAAATTAGTTTTAGTATGATTTTCCATGAATATACGATGTTTTAACTACGTCGTGATACTAACATTAGATAAAAAAGCAAATAAATTTTATTTACTTTAACATAGCTTTTAATTAAAATTAAGACATTCAATTTCATGACTATGGGAACACGTTAGGATATGTAGATTAATTTTTGAATCTGAATTCTTTTGTTGGGATTCATCCAGTATTTTGACCTTGAAAAGAAATTAATTGCGACTGCGAATTTAAATTGTTGAGAATTTAAACGCTGCAAATTCGAGGAATTAACGCTTAGACGTTATTAGACAGTTGTCAAGTGAAACAACAATGTCGAACATTAATTTTAAGCGTTTGGGAACGATGACACAATCAATGAGATGGCCTCAGTATTTCAAATATTTTATCCCACAGAGAGTAGGTATTATTGCATTAATAATTTGCTTCGAAAATATATTAAAAGTGATTATTCAACTCTAATAATACAGCCTTATTAAGATAATTTAGTATATCAAACCTAAATATTTTCTTTGTTAATCTTACTAATATTAAAAATGCTAATTTTAGATGGATAAGGGGATGTTTGTTTGAAGATGTCTCTGGAAGGGCTCAACGGATTTCACTAAAAGTTGGCTTAGATATAGAAAATAGTCTGGAACATAGGCTACTTTTTAAGTTTTTTAATTCCAACGGATGGAGTGCGGACTGCTAGTTTATAGATAGATTGTCCTTGAAGTTACCAAATTTTCACAGGCTTACTTGCATAATTATTAATTCAATGCAATTAAATTTATACTTATGAGAACATTGACAGCAAAGGGAATTACGATATACCTTGACATTTATGTACAAGGAACTCCATTTGCTCCTGGGAATACGCCCACGTAACATTTTCTAAAGCTTATAAATGAATTCTATGCACGAACACTAATTCAGTGTTTAACATACGCTTGATAAGCCACTAGTGTAACTTACGTAAGGTCTGCAGTGACTCATGTTCAGTCAAGTTATTCATAGGACTATCGAACACCGATAAATCTTCAATATTCGTATCAATTAAAACTCTCTTCAGTCTAACGTTTACGAGAATCATCTGAATTGCAAATTGTCGTCGTATTTTCAGTCGCTGTTCTCGTTTTGAAACGATGTAATTGGAATTTCGACTGTTTTTTGTCAAACGTAACATAGTATCCAATGTATTTCGCAGTTACACATTTGATAGTATTATATGTAAATCACGCTAATAAATCTACGATGCATAATGTTTGAATTTATTTTGAACAATGACCGCAAAAGTTTCGTCAATTTTTATTTATTTAAGTCTGCAAAAAGTTATTTCAACAATTGTGGTTAAAATGTCTTATTTATAAATGAATATTTCCTATTACAGGGGCCTTTGGTGGATTATATTCTTCAGTTCGACGACTTGCTCAGCCAACGATGGACTATTCGGATCGAAATTTCCAAACGGTAAGAATTCATAATTAAGTAATTAATATGTATATATTATAACAATAATTGTATGAAGACTGCCGTAAAAAGTATAATTAGCATAAGAAAAATGTATAATTTTAAAGCGTTAAAAAATTAACGCCTGTAGGAAAATAATACTAAAATTACAACGTTACAAAATTGCTGCTTAATGTTATGAATACAAATGAAAAAGCTTGATTCAAATCTATTGAAATGAAAGATTTCTTATTCAAATCTTTTGTGTTGCAAACTTCGACTATTCTAAATTTTAGATACTAACGTCGTGTAACAAATGCAAATGTCTTAATACTGCGTCCTACACTCCTTTAATTGTGACAGTCTTGCATCCATTAGACAAAGTAGGGTGAGAACAGCATAGTTTATGTATGCAGCATGCTTTTCTAATAGGTTTATTGTGAGGATGACATCTGTTGTTAATTACGGCTTTAATCAATGTGCAGCTTTATTGTATTCTAAATATTTACAACAATAAAGTTAATTACGACGAATGATAGGTATTTTTAAATAAGTAATAAGATATTGACTAATTTAGAATGTAGTTTGACTACCTTCTTACGTATTTCATAATACAAGTAGGTACATTGATATATTTTATTAATTGCAGCTAAATTCAAGTACGCAAAATTTACAGACAAACCATTTTTAAGAATGTAGATTTTTAAATCGCACCGCAGTTAAATAATAAAATGTTGAGTTAAGAAAAGAGGTTAGTTCTTACGAATTAAGTTAACTTATTCATCTATTCATTCATTAATTTAAAACTTCTAAAAGGATAATGAATATGAAACTGTGGAAATTTTAAATTTAAATTTAGTGAATATGCTATTTTATATATAATTCTATTAACTATAATATTTTTTATTTTAATTCCAGACATACCTGAGTACGATTTGCTGCGAGCTATCGGCGTTCCCTTCAGTAATCCGAAGACGCAGTACTTCGATGAGGGTCTCGACGGATTTCCTGCGTACGGGCTCAAACCGGGTTCAGATATCAAATCACCGTATCGACTTTTCATGCCCGAAAAGTTGTATGCCGAATTCTCGATAACTGCAACCGTCCGACCGGCGAACAAAGATGGCGGCTTCCTCTTTTCCGTCGTTAACCCTTTGGAAACCGTCGTACAACTTGGTGTTCAACTAATACCGTCAGGCCCGGGACTGACTAACATATCTTTATTGTACACAGACGCGAATGTTTACGCTTTATCACAGACTATAGCATCATTTGTGGTACCGTCATTTGCTAAGAAATGGAGTAGGTTTGGCATGAAAGTGACCACAGATAACGTAACTTTGTTTTTAAATTGTCACGAGTTTGACACATTGGCGGTAAAGAGGAGCCCGCTAGAATTGGTCTTCGATTCGGCGTCGACGTTGTATGTGGGACAAGCGGGGCCTTTAATCCGGGGAGCTTTTCATGTAAGTACCCTAATTGTTTATTATTTTCATTTATTTTAAAAACAAATCATTTGAATTTTATACAACAATTCTTATAATATTATGATAGTACTTTATTAAAATGTTGATTATGTACTTTAAATATGAAGATATTAATTTTTTTATAAATAATTTAAAAAATAATTTAGGATATTTTACAAATATTTTATAGGACGACTGGCAATTTATCAATCCTAATAGTGGGTTTCTGACTTCAATATCTCTGTATAAAACATATCGTGACCCCTGTCTTTCATCTTTGACAAAAGGGAGATATCAATATGTTTTAAACGGATTTTTTGGTCTCAAAAAAAACACTGTAATCAAAATAATCCGTGTATATTATATTGTGTTATATTCGTATAAATAATAAGTACTGATTGCTAGATATCGGTTTCAAACATCGCTAAACAAAGTTATCTGTACAGGAAAGTTCTCAGTACTAACGATCTATCGCTTAGTTGGTAACATTAAACTGTCATTTGACATAAACGTTTGCTTCATTTGCTCCTAATACTCAAGAGACAGACATGTCTAGAACTTTACGTGAAATAATTCACAATACAATTTAAAAAATATTATAAATTAACCCCAATACAGGATTTTGTAAATGTTATTAAATAGACGAGATTAAATAGTGATCAATGTTTTGATATCATATTGGATTGAGAAGTAAGCCTGAAACGATTTGACGATGTAATACATACAGGCAACAAAATGCTCTATAAGTTCAGTCAGCTGCGTGAATATGGATACATTAACAAGGCTTCAGAAACTTGTATAGGTTTTTGCCTCCAAAAATATGTATGTACCTATCCTTCATATGTTTCCAACTATGAATACTTGCTATTGGCGAAAAAGTGCCTATGTATTTTTGATACTGAAGGTCTGTACAAGTTTGTGAAGGTTTGTTAATGTTAACATATTTGTCATCATAAGACAGCGCCGAAAATGCAATTTTAATCTTACTAATATTAAAAATCGATGGATGGATGTTTGTTTAAAGGTAGGTAAAACTGCTGAACCGATCTTGATGAAATTTGACATGCATATAGAACATAGCCTAGAAGAACACATGGACTACTAATTACGTTTTTTTCTATTAATTCCACACGGAAGGAGTTGCGGGCGACAGCTAGTTTTAAAAATATAATTTTAAACCATCCCGCGCACATATGTGAACAACAGAAGAAATTTAAATGCATGACAAAGATATATGCAATGAACTTTCATACATGAATAAATAAATTCTAACCAGAAAACAAATGTACAACCCCATTTGTGAAACGACGTTACACTACACCATTAAATAATTCGTTGCATAACAAACTAGCGAACTGCTAACCAGAACAATAACACCATCAATCATAGGGGCGTTTGTGTTACAAATATTCCTTCATTTCCGTCCCATTGTAACTGTTCGCATAAGCCCACTTTCCACTTGTTTCAAACATGGATGTTAACATGAAAGGACGACATTTGTTCTGATGTATTTAGTACAAGAGAGGAAAATGTTTTCTTGATAGTATTATTTTAATTGCTTTTGTACCATGATATTTATTTATTTGAACTATATCATGCTACTAGCTGTAAAGAGATTAAAAAGCCTCAATTAATAGTCTGTGTGTTCTTCCAGATTATTTCTACATCTATGCCAAATTTTAACGAGACCTAGCCATTCTGCAGATACCTTCTGACAAAAATCTATCCATTCATCCATCCAAACTTACGCATTTATTTTATTATATGAGAATGAGATGAGATGAGATACTAAGATCGTATCGTACATTTTTTGATCAATTGTTCTATTGTAGACAAGGACATTAGATCGTTAGTTTATTTATTAATAAAAGTAATTAATTGTAGGATAAATCTAAATCGGTCGTTACTTGGAGTAATCCAGCTATAAAATTTTCTCATAATTTTGTCTGAGCGTCAATCTAACAAAAAGAAGTTTGCTTAAAATAAAAACAGAAAGATACACACAAGTAATGCCAATTTCACAAATAACAAAAGAAAACGAATAAGAAACACATGAATTCCTTGTCTTTAATCCAATGTAAACGCATTGTTATAAAGGGTGTCAGCCGAGGCGTACGATTTAGGCTCGTTCCCTTTGTAGACAAAGCCCTTTTTGGTGAGAAATAAACAAAATCTAGCTTCGTAAATCCGATTAACAAAACATGTGAATCCGTACGGAGTATCAAGGGAAATATTTCTACTTATTTGCGAAATTTCCAGAACATGATTTTACAAATTATTTACAGATGATTATTTACGGAATACAATTTATTTATTTCTAGTCACATCTTACGAATATTATAAATGTGAATATCTGGATGGATGGATAGATGTTTGTTTGATAAGTATCTAAAAAGTAGGAAAACGGCTCAACGTATCTTAATCATATTTGGCACAGATGAAGAACATAGTCTGACCACGTCGACGTCGCAGGCATTCGTTAGTAATCATAAATAAATACGTAACTACGTAAAATTGTAGACATTAAAACTTTTATCGTTCATTGATATCTTAAGACTGATATAAGCGCACTGCTTCAAGCGGTCAGCGTACTAAGTTCAGCATGTGACATTGGCCATATCACACACGTACAGCAATTTGCCGTTCGTGTAAGGCCTACGATACCCGAGCCGTTTGAAAGCAGTACCAATTGCAATCTGATGATCACAGAGTAGGTTCGCATATGTCGGCCCTTACAAATAAAAGTTGGAAAATCTATAAGTTGAAAACAAAACAAAAACAACTAAGTAAGCGGTTGGAGTAGGTAAAGCTCGCTTAGTTACTAACTTGTTCACTTTACAACTTGTTCTACATCTAAGGCGGATTCAATTTTCTACTTTATTTTCTTACTTATTTTATTTTTTATTCGGGATTTAAAAAAATGTAATTTAGTTTTCCTTGCCTTTTCCTAAATATTTTCTTTAAGTCGTTCATTTTGAGCTTGACTTAAAATCGAGATATTTAATTGTTCTCGCATTGTTGTTTTTGCTCCGGCTAAAAAATTTCGTATTAATTTTTTTTTAAATACTTCTTGTCCCACTTACGTACCAGATACTCGTCTTAAAAATCAATCTATGTATCAATTTAAGTATACTACACAAAAAGCTACTGATCAAAATCAAATATTAATAGACGTTGTTGTGTAAAAGTTCGCGTAATCCAACGTTATCAAATATGTATGTGCAAGGAATTGAATGCCTACCAGCTTGTCTAGTACGGCTGCTCGTCCGCAGTATACGACCACTCAGACTTTGTATAAGAGTCTTTTGTATACGCTGTGGTACTTTGAAAAGTTGATGATTAGTTCTCCTCGCACGGCTGACATGTTTGAGCCACAACAATGAAAACTTCTAGACTTCAAGACAAAGACATTTTTTATGTAAATACAACGCGTAAAATTCAACGACATACGTGATCATCTCTGGTTTAGACTGTGTACATTTTATCTTGTAAATGTAGAAGAAAAATATCTGAAAAACTAACGAATAAAAAAGTGCTAAATTAAGTATCATAATTCGATTTTATACTTTTAAATTGTGAAGGTGTTTATTGGAACGGAAAAGCTATGTTTTAACTTGAAAATAAAATTGAAAAATAAATTTAAATGGGTACCTTAATGGACCATAAATATCTTTAAGAGCCAACGTTAAATTCAAACAAAGTCTCCTCAAATTGTTGATGATATTTTGCATTAAATTTGAAATTTGTATGAATCGAATAGGAGGTTGATAATTGTGTGAAATTATTAAACATGAATGAATCAAGAAATTAGATTTATTTAAATAATAAGATAAATTATTCCGAAATTAATTAACCAAGTTTAATTAAAATATAATAATTAATTTTAAAGTTTAATAATAAAATGATTGTGGGTATCACATATCTATGATGGCTTATTGCTCTGAGTTAACGAAAGAGTTAATAAACAATGGAAAATTATTAATTATTAATGTAGTTGATATTTTATGTTTTGCTTACTGTACCATGATGGCGCCATATTACTACTGATCTTCAATAGTATCACATTCACTTTTACTGACGCACTATTTCGATACGAATTCAATAAAGCGTGAGTTTATATTTATATTTTAGTGCTCAATGTTGCATTTGGCAATAACTGGTAAGTGACGATCGAGGTCGATTACATACTATCAGTATTCCGAGCAACAAAACTACCTATGAACTAGTTTCAATCCATTCCTAAACAAATCCCGAAATATTTAAAACGTGCCGTAAGCACGAGCAAACAAATCTTATAGTTCCATTTTGTTTTGTTTAAAACGTGTTAAGAACTTTGTAAGTCTTCGTGAATTTTAGAAATCTTCAGCTTAGCTATAATTTCACTGTCCAAAATCTACGGGCTGATCAGTGCCCCTACTAAAACTATCACGGTGGGCCAGTCTTTTCTCGAAGCAACTCAGAGTAGTTTTGGTCTTTCTCTTGATATTTATAAAGCAACTATTAATTTGCGTGAGGTATTTTATACTGGTTAACTTTAAATTCTAAGATAGCGTTCTTGATTCCCTTTAGTTAACTCGTTATAATCTTCGGTTTAACAGCACCCGTCAAATAAAAAGTAGCCTTAAAATTCTCTTTACAACGACTAAGTACTTTAACTTTTTTATTATACAACACTTATATTAGTCTTAGTTCAATTTGAAGACCTTAGACCTTAGTCCTTATACTTTTAAGATGGTAATTAAACTCTAAAGTTGGACAGTAGTAAACTTTAAAGTTGCATCCACCTACCAAGATAATTCAAACAGAAATTCGTGGGCAGTAAATTGTCCCAGAGCTATAGAAGCTATACCAATATGTATGTATAAACATTTATGCTCCTGTCAAAGTGACAGATGTCACGCGTGTCACTTGTCCCGTCACGGGAGTGACGTGACGAGATTAAATGAATATTGGAGCTTCGGTGCCGCACGGATGTCAGACATGCGGTCACGCGGATGACG